TGGGATACGGACTTGTGGATCACAATTTAAAGGAGAGTATGCTGATGGGACCTCACTGAGGCATCACTGACATAAAGTGGTGCAAGAGTCACTATCGAGGGAAGATATTCCAGGTGGAAGGAAAGTTTAGAATTCCTAAGTTCAGGTTCCTGCTTAGCATGTTTTGGGAACAGCAAGAGAGGCCAGTACCAAAGAAGTTTTGAGCTTCCCACATCTGCCTGTTTTTCTTTTAGTTGAACTTAATTCCTGCACGGAGCTTCAAAACCCTGCAGGTTCTCTAAGTAGCTTCTAGAAAAAATTACCGCAAAGTAAGAGGAGACAGTCCCACTTCTGCTAGGATCTAGATCCAGGAAAGCAAACAATTATCCTGTAAAACTATCCCTAACTAAAGAGATGAATTCTAACAAAGGAGTCTTGTTCTCAGCCATACCCCAGCACCAAGACGAAAGCCTGCAAATACAGAGTGAATGACATCCCAGCAGATGTCTTTTTACTATGTAATATAACAGTACCCACTACTTAGAGGGTGTCTTGGAGGAGTTTTCTTATCCCTAATATACCTATTTAATGTTTTTTACTTTTTACATTTCATCCCACTCTTGCAGACCCTAAGCCTAACAATTTAGGAAATAATTATCATTTCTGAAAATATATAGCAAATTCTTAAACAGGCCCAGAAGATGACATGAAGACTAATGTTCACTAAAGCATTACTTAAGGTAGCAAAAAAACTGAGGACCATCTTATTGGGCAATAATGAGGGAGTAGATAGGGAAAATTGCTGTTTCTGGAGTTGTTTGGGTTACTGTTACTGCATAATAAGCCAGTCCAAGACTTGGTGGTATAAAACATTGTATTTATGGATTCTGTGGTCAGAAATTAGGACAGAGCATAGTGGGGATGGCTATCTCTGCTCCCAGATGATCTTAGGCCTCAGGTGGAAGCTCACTGACTTGAGGTGATTCTTGGGATAGCTGCTGAGGAGTCACCTGAAGACATCCTCACTCATGTGTCTGGCAATGGATACTGTCTGTCTGCTGGGACTGTCAACCAGAGCAGTTATATGTGGTTCTGGGCCTCTTAACAGTACGATTATGTTGGAGTAGTCAGACTTCTCATATGACAGCTCAGGATCCCAAAGGTGGGTCTACCAGGACACCCAGCAAGAAGCTGTGACTTCCTATCACAGGATAAAAGTCAACATCCTAATAAGGTCTTACACAGGATTGCCAGTTGTCTATGAGATGACTCAGTGGGAGGGTACAATGCTGGGAACAGGGATTTCACTGTTAGAAAAGGCCCTTAAAAAGTTGTGTAGTCCTAAGGATAGTTGTGTAAGTCTGGCCTGAGCACCTCGACTTCAGCATCTCTGATCCTGACCGGTAAAAGCCCATGGTGCCCCTGGCCATCAAGATAACCAAAACACTCACAATTTTCAAAATTCCCCTTTAGGGGGCTGTACAATTTTGTCAAAAAACAAATATTGCTAAGTTTTAGTAGTTGAACTGGTGCCTCAGGAATTTATCTTTGTCATAAAGGACATTAGCCAGCACTGAGTTAGTAGTCCAATGGTGTGATGGCTAGAACTCTGGATTTTGAGTCCAACGATCTGAGTTTAAATCTTGGTGGGACCCCTTTTGGTGTTTCTTTGCTTTTCTTCTGGGATCTCGTACTTCAAAACTAACATTTTCCCAAGTAACTCAGCCCACTATTCCTCAAACATAATGAGCAGTAGTATCATTGCTAGTTTTCGGAAGTCGGAACCCACACGCCAGAGCAGACCACATGTAAAAACCAGCCCTGCAAGAAACAGCCGCCAGTCCTATAACATGTGCCCAGACCGAGGTGGGGAGGGGCTCCTCTCTGCGGTGTCTTCCCTTGGCTTGATTCCTAGAAAGCAATTTGTGTGTGCTTAAAAAAGAACTTCCTATTTTAAAATGAGTGGCCATGTTACTTTAAGACTGAAAAAGGGAGTTTAAACTGCAAAGTGGTAAATATCTGAAGGTATTTCTGGTAAGACTGAAGTGGTAAGACTGAAGCACAGTAAATGCATTTCTGCTCTTCCTCTCAGCTTCTCCATTGAACGCTCTTAGAGGGTGACATTCAAGCCCACACAAGCAGGGCTAATGAATTATCAGTCCCTGGCTTTAACCATTTTCAAGCTACCTCACCCCATGGTAGCCACAATTTTTTGACATTCTTTCTTAGACCACTTTTAATAGTGCCTCTGCCCTTCCACTAAATTGGTCTGTGTGGTACTGGAGCAACCATAAAGGAGAAGCCCAGGCTGTCACCTTAGAAAATTCTAATATAAGACAAACTTTTCCACTATGCATAGGCAGCTTTCTATATTTTAATAATTGTTGTCCTAAACTACCCACGTCTCCAGCCCCATTTGCTACTGTTCTTGCCACACACATACCCCCAAATTAGCTTCTAGTCACCAGCTACAGTAGAGTTATCCCTATTCTTCCTTTTTCCCCCCTCTCTTTTCTCATTTTCTACCTTTAAAACGTTTTTGCCCTCTCCTTTGCCCTCATCTTATGAAATCCAGTCCTCTACCCATTCCTCAAACATTAATTAACTTAGACCTTTCAGCCCTTCTCACTGAGGCCTTCACTGGCTGCCCTTATCTGGGCTTAAGTGCCCCATCTGTGTTTCCTCAAGATCCTAGAATCCCCTTCTCATACCACCTCATTTTTAGTTGCTTGTTTAATAAGCACCCACTCCTGCCCTCCTAGGGGAGGGACCAGTACTGTGGCCTGGTTCACCTTACAATTATCAGTCCCATAGTTCCTGGCTGGTGTTGGAAGTTCAAAAACACTTTCTGGGTGTATGAACTTTTCATCTAATCTGGGGTGATCATCCCAGAACCTAGGATAATTCGTGTCCAAGTTTGGCTCCAAAATGTTCTGCTCTGCTTCTTCTCAGATTGGTTTTCACTCCTCTTCCTTCAATTATCCGAAATCTACACTCACTCTAAGAACAAGTTTTTACCCAAGACTGGAGAAGTCTTCCTGGAGGTGAATGTCACCTCTATCTTAAAGAGGCCACTCAATAACTAAAGGTGAGGGGAGAGAGAATGTTATTGAACCACTACTTTATGCATGTTTTAGATGAGAATTCACCTCAGGAAAGAAAGGCTCTTTTCATTACTTTCTTGCCCAGTCCTGAAGTCTGTACGTGCCTAGTTTTGGTCACCTGTTGGTTATATGGAGCCCTGCACCTGTCCAGGGCGTAGCCTCTGGAAAGCATGAGGTACATGTTTGTGATGAAATTGAAGATTTTCGAATACTGCAGATGAACAAGGATTTAGGCTGAAAGTGCTCTTCTTTCCTTTTCAAGGTGCAGGAAGAAGACATTAGCCTCTAAACTCTGCACTTCATCTTCCCTACTCGTCCCCTACTGTTGCTCTCGTGGCATTTCGCCTGAGAGGGGGAGTCTGGGAGGGCTGAAGGACGAGGCCAGGGAGAAGCACGGATGTATTGACTCTAAACCCGAAGAGTCTACTGCTCAAGTCACAGGCACCCCATGCATGCGGTGCACTTTTGTTAAACGGGTACCCCGCAGGGTCAAGGCCTTCGGAACTGTTTTTCCCTATGGCGTTAGAAAATGTGATTGAACTAGTGCATTCATCCTGGCTGGTTATGTCCAGGGACGAAAAATCTACAAGGCTTTCCCCAGGCGGTTATAAAAGCATCTCCTTGGTACTGACCCTCTCCTTGTTTCCCCCAGTTTTGACAGTTTGGAGTATCAAGAGGATTTTTACCCTCTCTTCTGAGGATTTCCTACTTCTTCTGCAAGTCAAGAACCGTCTTTGACCATCCTCGACGTGTTCTAAGCTTGAGGAAAACTCCCACCCCAGCTTTCCAGAAAAGACTCGATTTAAAGACTGTCCAATGACAACTACCCTCCAAAAGTCTAATTAAAAGTGATTCCCCCAAGAAGCCTGGTGTTTACTGGGAGACTTGCAGGACTGTGGAGGACTTTTTTGGTTCGTTCCTTTGTTTAGGGGGTTTTGTGGGGGATTTTCATTTTGTTTTGTTGCGCTTTATAGTCTGTGTCCACAGGAGAGCGCGCCGTCCTCGAAACCCGCCTCCAGGGCTTCTTTGCTTAAAATGCGAAATCCTGAAAGGCAACTCCAATCCGCAAGCCAAGAAATTCAATTTACGCTAGGCAGACTCTCATCCAACAGGCATCGAATCCCGTTAAACTACGTGGCGCAGAACTGGACCCTCTCTACCACTAAAGAAACTGCCCGGGCTCTCACTCCTACACCAGTGCTGAACGTCGTCGCGCTCCCAGCCAAGCCAAAGCCGGCCCCAGGAGTTTATGAAGAGACTGGGTTAGGATGCGACTCAGAACGTTCAAGACGCCTCACAGAAACAGATTTGTCCTGTGGGTTTTCATAAGGGGTGGGCCCCTCTGTGTGCGGGGATTGGACATGGCAGGCGGGGTGGGGAATCTTTGTGTCCTTTTGGGAGTCTCCCCTGCGCATACTTTCCTTTGATGACAGGGAAGCAGTGGGATCCCTGAGAGCCCTTTCCTTTCCCCCTTCCCTTCCCAGCCCCCTAGCCCGAGTTGCGCTCCGGAGGCGGCTGGTATTCTCTTCCAGCCTTGTCCAAGCAGATTTATTTCAGTTTTCCGTAAACACCAACGTCTCCTCTGTGACTTCAATCAAGTATTTCCATAACGCGTCCCCAAAAGCTCCAGATACCGCCCTAGTAAAAGACCTTTTATGAAAGCAATAGGATGATAGCAGGGTGAAGGATCTCAGGTCTGTGCACAGGTTCCTCACCTGTGAAATAGCGTTAATGGACCCCCATCTCACAGGGCGGTTGTGAGCTTTAGGTGAGGTACGAACACAAACACTTGTCACAAAACCTCAAACACGGTAAGGGCTCAGTCCTACTCAACGACATCACTTGTTTCCCAGTGAAGAAATATAGGTCCTGGGGCAGGAAGTTTCGCAGCCGCTTAGGAGGAAATGACGCGGTGGGTTGGTGGAGAGAAGGATTCCTGACATTTGACAGTCACTGTTTTCCATTGAGATCTGGTTAAAGGATGTTGGATGCAGATACGTAGTAGGTAAGTGCCCCTGGCTTAATCCTACGAAAAGGGAATGTGCTTATATCTTTTAGGTAAATTGGAGGATTTGGCGAAGAGAAACTATACCACCAAATGTTTCGACGACAGAGCTCAAAAGTGGGAGCCGCTGTGTAGCGGTTAGCACTCTAAACTCTAAATCCAGTGATGTGAGTTAAATCTCGGTGGAATCTAAGACTTCACTCTTCTAGCTCATTTCCTAGCTTCTTTCTACACATTACTGGTTCTTTTGCTATTTCTACCAAACCCTTTCCATTGCAGCCCCTGGAAAATTTCATGGACAGACGAACAAGCTAACTGGGGGGAAAAATTTCTGTCCCTTTCATTGTTTCAATATAATTTTATTTTTCATATACTATATAAGCACTTAACAAAAATACATTTTTGATTGCATGCTACTACTAAATTTAAAAACAACTCAAACCAGAAGAAAACCCCTTAAAATACAGAGATTTACAAATATTCTATTCATATATATATGTGATAGGGTAATCAGTCACAGTCTTTAAGCCTAAAAATGCAACATATTGGGATTAAATTCCATGGCAAATATAGAATAAATATCTTTGAAAGAGCAAAACAATTTATGAACATTTTTTGACTGTTGAATAAGTGTGCCATATATACGCATATTTTTTAACATTAGTTTCAGGTGTCAAGGTAATGATTCAATATTTTCATATATTGAGAAATGATCATCACAGTAAAACTAGTTAACTTTCATTACCATACATAGTTACAATTTTTTTCTGTGTGATGAGGATTTTTAAGATCTACTCTCTTAGCAACTTTCAAATATGCAATACAGTATTTATTATCTATAGTCACCATGCTGTACATTACACCACAGGGCTTATAACTTGAGACTTGTACCTTTCAACCACCTTTACCCATTTTTCCAACCTCCCTCCTACAGTCACCAGTCTGTTCTCTGTATCTTTGAACTCTTTCTGTTATATTTTAAGACTCCACGTTTAAGTGGGATCATACAATATTTATCTTTCTCTGTCTGATTTATTTCATCAAGTATATTTTTAAAAGAATGCTAGTGCATGTCAAATTGTTAGAGTTTTTCTGTTCCATGATTGATTTGACTCATTTAATGCTCCAATTTTATCATCTGCTGGCAATTACATTCTTTGGAATCATTTAAATTTATGAAGAAACATTTTAGAAGATCACTGGATAAACAGTGTGTGAGAGCACAAAAATATTGTGACAATTCCTAAAGACTCTAAGGAATTAAAATAGCCTAAAGACACTGCTCCTGGTTAGAACAATGAAGTGACAGACCAAAGCAGCCCCTTCCCCATCTTCTCATGCTCAGACTCCTTTATTTCTAATTATCAGGTGGAATTTTTTTCTAATGTGAATTTTCCATTTGTATACATCTAATTTAAGATGGTTTGATTTAAGAGTGGTTTATTATGATTTTGTAGGCTTTCATTAAAGTGTTTTCATTATTTGTTAATCAAATATTTTTAATGGAATAAAGTTGATATACAATATTACATTGGTTTTAGATATAGAACATAATGACTCAATAATTATATACATTACTAGATGCTTGCCACAGTATGTGTAGTTACCCCATTACCATATCAAGATAGTACAATATGATTGTTTATAGTCTCTGTGTTGTACTTCCATTTCTATGTCTAACTTATTTTACAATTTGCGGTTTGTACTCTTTATCCCCTTTCTGAATTTATCCATCCCATGAACCAACAGTCTGGTTTATATGTGTGGGTCTACTTCTTTTTCATTTGTTTTTTAGATTCCACATAGTATTTGTCTTTCTTCTTCTTGGCTTTTTTCACTTAGCGTGATACTCTCTAGGTCCATCCACGTTGTCACAAATGGCAAGATTTCCTTCTTTTTTATGGCTGAGTAATATTCCAATGTGTATATTCCAGTGTGTATATTCCATTGTGTATATGTATGTACCATATCTTCTTTATCCATTCATCTATTGATGGGTACCTGGGTTGCTTCCATATCTTTATTATTGCAAATAATGCTGCAATGAACATGAGTATGCATATATCTTTTCAAATTAGTGATTTTGTTTTCAACTCAACCCCCCACAAAAAAAATAATCTGATTAAAAAATGAGGAGAAGACAGAACAGGCATTTTCCAAAGAAGATATACAGATGGCCAACAAGCACATGAAAAGATACTCAACATCACTAATCGTCAGCATAATGCAAAACAAATATTTCTCATGCAACAGTTTCCAAGTATATACTCCTATGAGTTCTACTAATTGAAACTATGTGTTTTATTATTTTATTTTTAAATCACTAATCTATTTGGAACTTTATTTTTTTATACGGTAGAGAGATAAATGTCCATCTTTGTTTCCTCAGTTGCACTGTCACAACTTCTTTTAAAATCACCTTTGCCTGCTGAGTTGAAATACTAACTTTATCATATGCCAATTTCCATTTATACTTGTTTCCAGTTTTAAACTTATCTTTTTTCCTTTTTGTATACTTAGGACAATTCTAAGATCTTCTGATTAGATCAGTAAAGTTGAGCCATCCTGGGTTCTGGTTAAAATCAAAACATGGTAAATTATAGGTCATGTTCCAAAAAAGAGTTTATTAACTCCTATTCTGACCAAGGCACTGTGCTAAGCAGCAGGAACTCTAAGGAGAACAAAGCCTCAGGGTGCACTGGGGAGCTTGCTAGAGCACAGGAGGGAGATATTACTGAATAAGCAATTAAAATATGCGGTGGCCTGATAAGGGCAACTTGAGCACTGAGGAAACGTAGATGGGAGCAACTCAGCCCAGATACAGGAAGCCAAAGACACCTCAGTGAGCAGAGCTGGAAAGGCTAAGTGGAGATCTGAGGAATGAGTAAAGAAGGGAGGCAGGTGAAGTGAAGGCAGCTAAAGAATGTCACAAGTGAAAAATGAGGAGAAGGAGAAGATGGTGCTTGAGGAGAAAAGAATTTTACCAAAGCTGGTGCCTGGGAGGCAAGTGCAGGGACCCAGGAAGGAGATGCAGCAGGCTGGCACAGAAGCATCGAAGTGTCAAGTGCTCCTTGGAGCTTTATTTCCTTATTTACCAGCCTGCACTCAACTTTCTATTTTATGCAAGAGTTCTCCTCTTTCTCCATTAATTAAATATCTGTCATTGATATAGATTCATGGAATCTTACTGTTTCCTCATGGTTTATACTGTACTATTGTCCTTAATTATATTGAAGCTCAAAATAACGTATATTTAACCAGAGGGAGCCCCTTCAAGCTGGCTTCTCAGTCCTGGTAACGTGTCACACAGTCACTTGTCTAAGTACTGTCTTATTTTCGGGAATAAAAATTTGTTTCAGGGCCAATTAACATCTACCCTGCCCCAGCCCTAAATCATCATTTCTCAAAGATACCCTGGTTTCTTTCAGTATTAGAGACTAACCTCTGGGAGTTTAGTGTACTAATTGCTTCTATGATGTCTGCTTCTTGGTCTTTTAATGGAAAGATCTAGGAAATGCATGTACATATACATACATGTACCTTATGTACACATATCCATATATACTTACACATGCATTCCTATACACACACATATACATGTTTTAGAAATCATAAGCTCACACCAATACCCCCAACTCCAATCTGTCTCTAGGATTCTTTCTTTCATTTCCTCATTCTGTATTTGTATTGTCCCTTCTTCCACACTGAAATCCCTAGCTCCAACAATATCGGTATGTTTACTCACTTGCTGTTTGTGCACCTACTGTAATGTCAGAATTGCCTTGGCCATTCACTACCAAAAACATCTACTAAACAAAGTTGGAGATTGGTTTGCAGTTCCTCCCCTTCTGCTCCCACCTCCTTGATCAAGAGTGAAGATGTACCATCAAATGATTTCTTCATAAATTACATTCCTTTCCTTTACATGTGGTTATAATAAGGAATAGAACTGAGTTCATTTGCTGAGTCAGTTTTGGCTTTTTTTATCCAACTACTTCCCATCTTTGTTGATATTATATTGATTTTCAAAAAAGAAGAAAATTCAAATGCTTTCCAAAGATAAAGGTACACCAAAAAGTACTGTCAGGGGGAGAGTCACCCCATATTCCTTATACTCCATTTCCCCCACAGCTGTAACTACCCTTTTAGATAACAAGCTTCACTGTTTATCTTTGCTATGTTTTCTTTTTGGAATGAAAAACATCGATTTTATGTGTATGTTTTCATAACTCCTCTGCTTTCTTGAAAAAAGGTAGCACGCTATAATACTCACTTGCACAATTTCTTCACTTAACAGTATCTACTGGATATCACTCGTACCTTCTTTGAAGCTGCAGAGTGCTTCTCCTTTTAGTCTGTATGTCACATTTATTCAACCAATTTCCTGTGCCTGAATGTTTAAAGTTAGTGAAAATGCTTCTGGGGGTAAGCAAGCAAAATAAATTGAAGGTGGTTGATCTCGCCAAACATGAACATCTTCACCAGCAAGGTAAAGGAATAAAATAGGTCTATCTCATGCAAAATTTTTAATGTTTTTCCCTTCTGATATTTTGCTCTGTGAATTCTCATTGTTTAGAAGAGTTTGTATTTTCTTGTCATACCATAGGCACTCAAAATGTATTTTACTTAGTAATTTTCTCCTGCAAATATATCAGTAAGACTTCTTTTTATTTCTGAGTTTGTCCATGGAATTCTGGAATTAAGACAAAATGTTTTGTTTTAATACAATCTAATGGTTTCTACCATTTTCACATTGATTTGGTTCTTGTTTTTCTCATAGCACTCCCATAAATCAAGTTTATGTAAACATGAACAGGGACAGGGTATAAAGATTTATTTCCCATTATTGTACATAGATTGCTTTAGAGAAGAATTCACAGCCATTACCATTAACTTGAAATGAATTTAATAAATCATGCATCAGACTGATTGCAAAAGAGGCAAGAAACTCCCACCCAAGTGAAAAGACAATATGGATTTACAGAAACCAATGGTTAGGTTGCTTCAGGCAAAACTAACAACGTTTTCCCTTTAAATGTAAGAACATTGCAAGAAAATATAAATTCTATCTCATTGTATATTCTATTCACTGGAAGATAGGCTAATTTGTTTGAAGTAAACATCGAATTTGTTACCCTTTAGAGGTAAGATTTACCTCTTTTTAAATGAACAAAAAGGGAGGGTGCAGTCAGCTGACTCGGTGTTGCGTGGCAGGGAGGAAAATACAATACATAACCTCTGGAAATAAGATACAACGTCAGAGATTAATTTTCTTACATCAAGTACATAGCTATTTTCTTAATATCATCTTGGTACACGAAAATGTTGTAGCAGAGGATGGTTTCGATCCATCGACCTCTGGGTTATGGGCCCAGCACGCTTCCGCTGCGCCACTCTGCTGAGCAGTTACCTCTGGTAGTCGTTCTTGACCATGTGGAAGATTTATCATTGCCAGAATAAATGTTTCATATTTTCTTATCTGCTTTTCCTTTCTCTTCCTTCCTTGTTCTCTTAACTTCTCTAAGACCAGTTTCCACAAAAAACCAATAACCCCAGCAATCCCTTTCTCAATCTGCCAAAGATGCGTCAAGCCCTGACATTTTATCTCCAGAAGTTTCTCTGAGCTCAAAGAAAGAACTCTAAAGCAAGTCAAGCCAAGCCCTCAGAAGTCCTTCCTTAGGGATAGGCGTGCTGAGACAAGCATGAAGTCACACTTACTGTCCTTAGAGAGGAAGTCTATTAACTGGCACACTCAAGAAAATTTATTTGAGGAAACTAGAAACAGTATTTCCACACACTGACTAATTAAATGCCATTTGCAGCTTCCCGGCCATCCGGTTTACCTGGGTAATACTCTGCCTTTGAATTCAAGAACAGGGGCTTTCCATCTCTTTGAGGTCATCCTTATCTCCATGAAGTCATTCTTGTGAACGGTTTTCTCTTGCCCTCAGGGAATGTTGGCTCTCACTAATGGCCTAGATAGAGACCTCCTGCACCTTTTTATAGGCATTAACAGGTTTTATGTTATCCAAGTCCTTCCCCAGCTTTCCTCTTGTTCTTTTCACTATCTTTTCCTGTCTTCATTAAAGACTTGTTTTTCCGTCAGGACAGATAGGGTGTTAGTGTCCATTACTCTTGTGGGGGAGGAAAAATGATTTTCCCTGTATTCTTCCTGGCTGGGAACCCTGTAGCAAAGACAGATCAGCAAAAGAAAAACAAACAAAAAGATTTTAATATGTGTACCTCACGTATACATGGGAGACACCCAGGAAAAAATGACTAACTCCCAGGGGTGGACTAGGACTCAGCCTAAATACCATCTTCAGCTAAAGACAAAAGAAAGAAAAGTGTTAGGGAGGCCATTGGGAGGTGGGAGGTGAACAGGAAAAGTATGGTAAACAAGAGTAAGGTTTGTTACACAGATTTAAGTTAGTGCCTTGTCCATTGATTAAGGGTCTAAACTTGTCTCTGGGGAATAACCTTTGTCTTCCCAAGTAGAAAGGAGAGGAGGGACACCTTTATAAATACATGTCCTGTTTTTAGGTAAACAGTGGGAGGGCAGATGCTTTTCTTATATCTGCTTCTTCTCAATTGTCTTCAGCTCAGAATAATCCCTATGACAAAGTGGTGTGTTTTGGAGTGGCATATTCTGCCACCCTTCACACTGCAGCAATTCCATTTGAGTTTTCTCCTTTCCTTGTCCAATAAACAGACTGAGACACTAGGACCTATATACTGGAGTTAGGAAGATGTTATGGAACAGGGCAATGAGAAAACTGGCAGGAATGATTCATGCGGACAAGATGGATCCTGAGCAAAACAGACCTAGGTCCCACAAGACATTGACCTAGTGTAAGATTAATGGGATTAATACATAAATCAAGCAGAATAGAAACCAAATGTACAAATACATATGACTTGATTATTTTTCCTACAACTCTTGAAGCGTGATCAAAACTGGAATGATTAGGGCCAAAACAGGTCCTGTGACATGACCACCTTCACATGGTTTTGGTATTCTTGAGGAGCATCACGCCCTAGGGCTAGGCTCAAGGTCAGATAATTATTGCGTGCTGATTTTGTGTTGAACCCCCTACACAGAATTCTTTAGATGTTTGAGTTCACTTGCTCAATAAATATGAGGAGTGCCTTCTTGGCATTACTCTTGTGCTGCAACTTCTTGAGTTCCTTGGCTGGTCCTTTCAGATCTTCAGCATCTCATAACGCTCCCTCCAAATCTGCGAGTCAGAAGCAGTGGGAGGCGGGCTGACAAGTGGCGCCTGAACAGGGATCTGAGGCTCAGAGCAGGGAAGCTGCTGAAGATCTGAAGCTCAGAGCAGGGAAGCTGCTGAAGATCGTCCATCCAGTAAGACTCCTGGGAAAGCGTACGTAGGGACAGGATCGAGACGTCAGGGACACTATAATGGGCCAAAATGAAACTAAAGCAGGTAAACTGGAGGATCACTTAAAATTACTGCATACCCTTGATGCCGGGGTTCTTGTTTGTGGAGTCAAAGAATGAACTTAGCAAAGAGCCAAGGAGGCTTTTATTGAGAGATGAAGTAAGAGGAAGGAGCTCCTGGATCATGCCTGGAGGGGACAAGAGAGCCCAGGGTGGTGCGTTGTCTAGGGAATTTACAAGCAGTTGAGGATTTAGGGGAATTGAGAGTTTAGGTTGTGGACTTGTACCACCTGCCCTGCCCTCAAGGTGGGCTGGGTTGTTGTCTGTTTGCTAGGGCCTTTTACAGTGAAGCCATGGGTTATGCTGAGATACCCTTGTGGAACACTCAAACATTCCAGGCCAAGTTGCTCCTGGCCTTTTGACCTTTAACTGATCTCACTGAAGATGTCTATATTCCTAGTCTGGTATCTTTACCCTAGAGAATTAGAGTGACCTTGTCTTTGCATAATGCTGAACAGAGTTTCCATAGGGACTTTACACTGTTACATTGCTTTGACTGTAAATATCTTGCCTTGCTTTTTCTGGAGGCCCTCACCTTACTCTGTCTAAGCCCATGGCCCCTGTCTCACCCTCCTAAAGACTTCAGGAATGAAATTTTCTAAAAAAGATTTTGCTCAACTTCACAAATATATTAAAAAACACTGTTACTGGTTGCCCCCACAAGAAACCCTCAGACAGGATGATTGGAGTAATGTATTAAGAGATTTCAAAAAAGCTCACAGACAAGGAAACATTATCCCTGTACCTGTTTGGTCATTGTGCAAATTGATTACTCTTGCTTTACAACCCTTACAAACTCCCCCATCATCTGAAACTTAGACTGAAACACAGGACCATGAGAAAGAATTACTAGAGGATGTGGCAAAAGTAAGTGTACAATCTTCATCACCACATCCGCCTGATTCCTCTTCGTTCTCCAAGACTGGTGATGACAGGTTTTTTTGCTTCCTTTCACTGTCAAAGGCCCGCTGCTCCCATTCCTGCTGGGTCTGCTTTCACAGCTGGGATATGGAAGGCCCAGAGAGGTGATTTAGATGCCTATTTGACACACTTAGTGGCACGGGTAAGTGTTGTTCCTTTTGGTCCCAATGAGGACCCTGACTTTCCCCAAGGGGGTGTCAGAGTACAGTATGCACCCATTCCTTACAAAACATTAAAAGATTTTAAAGAAGCTATTTCTTCCTATGGAACTAATTCTCCATATGTTGTGGGTCTTTTGAGGGGTTGGCAGAACAAGAAAAGATGATTCCTTATGACTGGGATCTATTGGCTTGCACTTGTCTAGATTCTCCTGAGTTTTTGCAATTTAAGACATGGTGGTATGAGGAAACAAAAGCACACGCTTTGACAAACCAGCATGCTAATCCTCTGATTCTCATAACTACTGAACAACTAGCAGGCCAAGGAGATTGGCTGCCATTAGATAAACAAGCAGGGTACAATGATACAGCTGTAAGGTAAATACATTTGTGTTGCCTAAAAGCCTGGGAGAAAATACAAGCAGCTAAAAAGTGTGCCTGACCATTGAACAAACTTAAACAAGTATTAATGTTGATTTTGTTGTGAAATTGCAAGATAATTTGAGAATGACACTAGCACATCCAGATTTGAGAGACCTGTTGTTACAAATATTAGCCTATGATAATGCAAACACAGAGTGTCAAAGAGGTCTTAGACCTTTGAAGGCCATGGGAGCTAGAATGAAAGATTATATTAAGGCCTGTGCAGATGTAGGTTCCTGCTGGAGTCCAGCTCCAGCGGGGAAGGGGGTGAAGACCAAAAGGATAAGATGGAGTCGGTGCACGGGGAGACAGGACACAGAGTCAGATGGAGGTGGTCTCTCGACAAAGTGCCGATGACAGCTTTATTTATGCCATTTGGACAAGGATATGATTATTTTTTATTTGTTCTTTTGATTAACAAGCATAGGCAAGCTTTTTCTTTCTGTTTCCTTCTAATCTATACATGGTTAGCCAAGTGTTAGGTGATTTTTTTTCTGTTCCTTGACCTAAACTTTTCTTAGCAAAATGGACTCTATTGTGTTTCTTGTTTCTATGCAAAGCAGTTTCTAAGTAATGCACATGACCACAGAAACATGCAGCATGTAGCAGTGACAATGGAGTCTATCAGCTCAGGGTGAAATACAAGTCACTCACTACTACAGTTAGCTAGGCAGGTATCATCATCTATATTTCTAATGCAATGGGTACATTTTATTTCATAATATTTATTCTATCATAGGTAGATGCAAGATAAAGATAAAAAGCATGATTTAGTGTTGTAAGTGGGCAAGTGTAGATGATCAGGTCTCTGCCTATAGACTAGGTATTAATCCAAGTTAGACAAGGGCAACAAAACATCCATGGGGGTAGACAATTTCTCTCAACACTGGGGAGGGGTATGAGGTTCTAAGCCTCACCTCTGTTGGCCCCCATTTTCTCATCTGATGCCCACCCCTGTGACTGTACCTGTCATAGGTTGTTTCTCCCTTGAGGAATCTTACCCATCTCTAGCTAACCAGTCATCTTCCAGGGGCACACAGGGAGATGTAAAGCTGGTAAGTGAGAGAGAAGTAATGTTCTTTGAAAAGGTTAGTTTTTCACTTCTTTGCAGATTTATGCTCCATGGCTTCTATGCCCAGCACTTGTCTTGAGGTATCTTTACCACTTGGAAGAATTGTGGTACTTGGTAATTTCACATATGAGGCACAAATTCTAGTAAAGGGCTGTAATTAGGAAGGAAAAAGAAAAACTATAGAAGTAGCAGAGGGAAGAAAAAATGAGAAGATTAAGTGTCAGACAGGGTTATTCCATTCAGTATTCCCCTATAACTCTATTTCTCTAATTTTCCTATAAAACTCTTCATCACTAATTTCACTAGTGATGCCAGGGTTCTTGTATGTGGAGCCGAAGAATGAGCTTCACAAACAGTCAAGGTAGGAGAGCAAGGTGCAGGCTTTTATTTAGAGATAAAGTGAAAGAAAGGACAGAGCTCCCGGCTCACGCCAGGAGGGGACAAGAGAGTCTGTAGTGGTGCGTTGTCTAGGGGGTTTTATAGGCAGTTGAGGATTTTTCGAGAACATGAAAAAACTTAGGGGTGGGGACTTGTTAAGCGGTCCCTGAATATTAAAAATTAACTTAACTGTAAGGAATTTCCTGCCTTGATTTCTCTCTGGGACACAGGTGCCTTGGTCTGGGAACATATCAAAAGGCTGCCTGCCCAGCCCCCAAGATGGGCTGAGGTATTGTCTACTTGCTAAAGAATCTTGCCTCTTGAACTTCCTGGGTGTTAAAATGCAATCTTATCTTTAAGATGGAATTCTTCCTGCCTTTACCATGCTGTCTACAGCTGGGTCTGCATGCTAAGTTAGTTGCTCAGTTTGCAGAAGTACCTAGTCAGATCTGAAGGAGGAAAGACAGCACATAGGCCTGGGCCTTTTACTGTGCTAAAGTGAATCTTACACATGGTTACAAATGATTAGCATAATAAAACATGTGCTACTCTTCTTTATCTGGGGAACATTAACTGATTTCACTGAAGAATGATTCTAGAGCTCAATGTTTAACATAGAGTTTACTAGCGGGGTTTCCTTGCATGTAGTTACATTGCTCTGACTGCAAATATCCCACCCTGCCCCCTCCAGAGGCCCTCACCCTACTCTGACTACATCCATGGTCCCTGTCTCACTAGCATTACAAAAAAGGGGGGCATTCCCACTTAGGTGGAGATGGGGTAGTCAATGTTTGACTAGCTACCTGCAGGTTTTGGTATTCTATGCCAAGATTGCTATCTGGCCTCTGCATGTTCTATTCTTCAGGAGCAGTGTCCTGAAAAACTTCTGGGAAGTTTATGTTCTCCTTTCCATGGTGCTTATCAAAGGTTAGCTTAGTCTTTGGCAAAAATGCAAGCAAAAGCAAAGCCAATAGTACAATGGAGAATAACAAAATCAAGGTGGGTAATAGGGGGAGCCAGCTGCAAAGGCCCTTGATTTGTGGGGATCTTCCTCCAGCCTGAGTTTTGCTACACAGCTTGAGTAGCATGGCTCCCACCACTTTCTTTAATGAATTCTTTCCTCACTCTGTCCTCTGACATCCCTGAGTCACCAAACCAAACACTCCCTAACAATTGCATTGAATCTGTAGATTGCTTTAGGCAACATGGCCATTTTGACAATATTAATTCTTCCTATCTATGAGCATCGGATATATTTCCATTTATTGGTGTCTTTTTTAATTTCTCTATGAGCGTCTTATAGTTTTCAGGGTATAGGTCTTTCAACTCTTTGGTTAAGTTTATTTCTAGGAATTTTATTCTTTTTGATGCAATTGTGAAGGGAATTGTTTTCCCGATTTCTCTTTCTGCTAGTTCATCATTAGCATTTAGGAATGCCACAGATTTCTGTGCATTAATTTTGTATCTTGCGGCTTTGCTGAATTCAGTTATTAGTTCTAGTAGTTTTGGAGTGGATTCTGTAGGGTTTTTCTTTACAAGACCATATCTGCACATAGGGACAGTTTAATTTCTTCCTTACCAATCTGGATGTTGCTTATTTCTTTGTGTTGTCTGATTGCCATGGCTAGGACCTCCAGTACTATGTTCAATAAAAGTGGGGAGAGTGGGCATCCTTGTCTTGTTCCCAATCTTCGAGGAAAAGCTTTCAGCTTTTTGCTGTTAAGTATGATGTTGGTTGTGGGTTTATCATATATGGCCTTTACTATGTTGAGATACTTGCCCTCTATACCCATTTTGTTGAGAGTTTTTATCACGAGTGGATGTTGAATTTTGTCAAATGTTGTTTCAGCATCTATGGAGATGATCATGTGATGAACTGCTGTAAAAAATAAAGTCTTTAATAAGAAAAAACACAAACACACACAAAAGTATTCCCTCCAAATTCACTCAAATGCCATCTCTAATATAACAAGCAGGTAAATGGTTCAGTCTAGAGTGGGGAAAGGTCAGCATAGGAGTCAGATTTAGACCTTCCCAGGCTTCTGGGCAGTGGCATCAAGCCCTTTATATACAATCTTCCTTTCAAAAGAACAGGATGATTGTGCCAGGTCCCTGGCATTAAACATGAGGTCATAACAGACAGGTAAGGAGACTCATCCACCAGAAATTACAGATTCCATTCCTATAAGGAACCAGCTGAAAACCCTGGCATGCAACTAGGGAAGTTTCCTCTCCCTTCTTTCCTTGCCAGGTGGCTCCTCCCTCATCCATACCTCTCCAGAGACTCAAGGTGGTGCACAGGGCCCCTCTCCACCCTGCATCACACACTCTCAAAAACCAGGAGTTGGGATGCAAAGGGCCCTCATGGGGAAGGAGAGCTTGGGAGGGGGTCTGCCTTCACCAGTTTCACCCCTACAGAAGACCAAACTCCTTCTCTCCCATGTGTCTGGAGACCTTCTCCAGGAAAGGATTTTCCACCTGAATGGATATCTCACCGCGACCCTCCTTACCTAGAATGTCTCAGGAGACACAGGCCCACGCAAGAGATTGTATTATCTGAAGGAGAGAGTGGCTGCCCCAGAGGGTGGTGGGCAGAAAGAGGGGGAACAGCAGAGAGAGCAGTGAGAGAGAGAGAGACAGCAGAGAGAGAGAGAGGAACAGCAGAGAGAGGGACAGAGAGACAGAGACAGAGAGAGAGGGCAGCAAAGAGAGACAGAGAGAGTGACAGAGAGACAGAGACAGAGAGAGAGCAGCAGAGAGACAGACAGAGATAAAGAGAGGGCAGCAGCATGGTGCCTTTTATTGTGGCAGATCCACTTGGCCTATTGCTTTGGGGGAGGGTCGGGATGTTTAGAGATAAGGCAAGGTAAACCCAGTGAAGCCCCAGGCAAGCGCAGGCATAATTCTCACTGGCTTATGTGCTTGGGGCCATGCGGCAAATGGAGGATAAATTACTATATTCTTACACCACCTGAACTTTAAAGGTGAGATAGGAAGGAGGGCCGGGAGCCATGCTACTCAAGCTGTGTAGCAAAACTCAGGCTGGAGGAAGATACCCACAAATTAAGGGCCTTTGCAGCTGGCTCCCCCTATTACCCACCTTGATTTTGTTATTCTCCATTATACTATTGGCTTTGCTTTTGCTTGCATTTTTGCCAAAGACTACACTAACCTTCGATAAGCAGCATGGAAAGGAGGAGAACATAAACTTCCCAGAAGCTTTCAGGACAGTGCTCCTGAAGAATAGAACACGCAGGGGCCAGATAGCAATCTTGGCATAGAATACCAAAACCTGTAGGTAGCTAGTCAAACATTGACTACCCCATCTCCACCTAAGTGGGAATGCCCCCCTTTTTTTAATGCTAGTGAAATTAGTGATGAAGTTTTATAGGAAAATTAGAGAAATAGAGTTATAGGGGAGTACTGAATGGAATAAACCTGACACTTAATCAATCTTCTCATGTTTTCTTCCCTCTGCTACTTCTATAGTTTTTCTTTTTCCTTCCTAATTACAGCCCTTTACTAGAATTCGTGCCTATATGTGAAATTACCAAGTACCATAATTCTGCCAAGTGGTAAAGATACCTCAAGACAAGTGCTGGGCATAGAAGCCATGGAGCATAAATCTGCAAAGAAGTGAAAAACTAACCTTTTCAAAGAACATTACTTCTCTCTCACGTACCAGCTTTACATCTCCCTGTATGGCCCTGGAAGATGGCTGGTTAGCCAGAGACGGGTAAGATTCCTCAAGGGAGGAACAACCTAAGACAGGCACAGTCACAGGGGTGCCATCAGGTGAGAAAATGGGGCCAAAAGAGGTGAAGCTTAGAACCTCATCCCCCCTGCCCAGTGTTGAAAGAAATTGTCTACACCCATGGATGTTTTGTTGCCCTTGTCTAACTTGGATTAATACCTGGTCTATAGGCACAGACCTGATCATCTACACTTGCCTTCTTACAGTTCTAAATCATGCTTTCTTGAAGGGTCCCCACCAGTAAGATGGCAAACTTCCGGCTTCTCTTCGGGGGATCCTCAGTTCCTGCCGGCGCCACCTGAAGCCCAATCACCTCTCGCCCCCCTCCCAATCCCAGCACCTAGCCAACAGCCAACAGCCCCATAGAAGTGACACCTCAATCAATTCATGCCCCTTCCTATATAACCCAGCACCTTTCCCTAATAAAGCGGAACTCTCCGGTGAATTGCTGCTATGTGTCGCTCCTTTCCTTTCATTTCTATCTTTACCTTGCATCTACCTATGATAGAATAAATATTATGAGGGGATAAAATGTACCCATTGCATTAAAAATGTAGATGATGATACCTGCCTAGCTAACTGTAGTAGTGAGTGACCTGTATTTTACCCTGAGCTGATAGACTCCATAGTTACTGCTACATGCTGCACGTTTCTGTGGTCACATGCATTACTTAGAAACTGCTTTGCATAGAAATAAGAAACACAATAGAGTCCATGTTGCTAAGAAAAGTTTAGGTCAAGGAACAGAAAAAAAATCACCTGTCTTAACACTTGACTAACAATGTATAGATTAGAAGGAAACAGAAAGAAAAAAGCTTGGCTATGCTTATTAATCAAAAGAACAAATAAAAAATAATCATATCCTTGTGCAAAATGGCATAAATAAAGCTGTCATCAGCACTTTGTCAAGAGACCACCGCCATCTGACTCTGTGTCCTGTCTCTCCATGCACTGACTCCATCTCATCCTTTTGGTCTTCACACTCCCCCGCTGTAGCTGGACTCTGGCAAAAGAAGGGCAGGGAAGATGGGAACCTTGTACTAGGACTGTGTTTTGCCAGGAGAGGATCCAACACACAGGGTGATGGCAGCCCAGGGATGGTGAGAGGGCAGGAGAGAAAGAGCCTGTGATCAAGAGCATCATTTCTGCAAAGAGGTGATTGGGCCCCAGCTCCTTACTGACTTCAGCAGGAGACAATGCCTAACAGGAAAATGTCACTATTGAACAGCTCTCTTGACCCTGGAACTAACTTCATAATAGCTTAATTTACTGAATATGATTTACCCAAATCCATTCACATATTTCTGGTATAAATTTATTTTCCAAGGGACTGTTGCAATGACTATCATTAAATGAAACCCAGTTAATTATTTGCCTGTATGGTGTCAACCTGAAAATAAAAAGCTATAAAGAGAAGTAAGCGAGTGTTTATTTGAGATCGAAGAATTACAGTTTGGGAAGCACAGACTCAGGTAGATAATCAAGTAGTGTTTCCACTTGTAAGGTAAAAGAAAGGTTTTATGAGGAAAGGAAGGCGGTGGGTGGGGGTGCAGGGGAAGTGGGTAATTGCATGAGGTAAGAAGAGAAAAAAACAGTTTTCTATAGGTATTTTAATAAGCTAAGTTAACTCTGGGTTATATATTATTCAACTACTGATTCTATCTTCAGAAAATTCACATCCATCAGACTTGTGATCAGGATGTTCATTTTCCCCATGACTTCTCAGACAATTGCTATCTTGCCTAGTCCAAAGGTTTTGGCCCAGTTCAAACAAAGGTGGGGAAAGCTATTTCTCTCCAGTAACCACTCCAACTCCATCCTAAAATTACTCCAGTCATGTCAATTTTCACAATGGGAAGTAGCTTAAAAGCTTAATATAACAATATAATCAATAAAGTGAAAAAGACCAGAGAAAAAATATATTGTAAATCCAACTGATTTACAGTAATGGATACTTGAGGTAATATTCTAAAATACTTGAATTGTCTAGAATCAGTGATAAGAAATAAATTAATCTTATTTAGATAGCTATAAATTTCAAAAACTGTGGGGGAGAGAAGAGACTTCTTACTTAGATACAAATATTCTGTTGCAACCAAATAACTGATTTTCACAAAGTATTATAAAGTTTAATCTAATTTATAAGTCTCATTTCAAAAAGGGTAAACTGGAAAAGCATCATTTTCCTGAGAATTTGAGACATAAATAGCTTTTAAATACATACTAAAATGAATAATTCTAGTCAGTATAAAATCAATAATGAATGTGAATTTTGAAGTAAGTCCATTTAAATACCATCTGTGAACAATAAGTTCCTTCAAACTCTCCCAGAGCTGCAAACAGAGGCAGCTACAGCCCATCTATCTGAGCCCTTCAGATGTTGCTGATCCTTTTGTGCTGGGTAGGGCAGTGTACTTGTCCTGGCAATTCTTGGCAAGCCTGGACAATAAGTCCTACCTGCCATCTTAGAGCCACTGTGGCCCCTGTGGATGCTGAGTGCCACTAGTGCTACCCATCTGGGGAGGGTGGCCCAGATTCAGCCTCAAAGGAGATCCTGGTGGGACTAGGAGGTGGTGGCACCTTGTACTCTGTCCTCTAAGTGGGTGAGAGGCTGTAGACCACCTAGCAAGATATGGCAGGGACCCATGAGCCCCATGGCCCTGTGTTCAGCAAGCTCTGCCCCCAGTCTCCCAGCTGGCTGGTACTGTCAATGTCTATCATGGCTGTGTGGTGCTATCAGCTTCACAGTTTCTGAGCCTACAGTCCTGAGATCCCTGAACTAACCCTGCACACACACCTCAGAGCTCATGTCCTGCTGCACATCCAGATGCCTCTGGGTCCCTGAGCTTAGACCCTTGAGGCCAGGTGCAACTTGAGCCTGTAGATCCAGCCTCAGCTTGGTTCCAGCTTGTGCAGATTGGTAATCCTAGGCCACATAGCTCCCCAAGAATGGAGTATCTGGGGACTGTGTACCCAGGAGCTGTTTGCCTCATCAAGGGCTGCTCTTTCCATGCCACACTCTGGAGACTATGGAGAAGAGGGCAGAGCCCTGAGCTCATGCCTCAGCACCAAATAGTAGCACACACTGGCCAACCGCTGAGGGCCCACATATCCCCTGTGCCCATGGGCTCTGGCTTGATAGGTTTGGGACCCCACAGCATGGAGGTTGCCAGCTCCCTGAGACCCATACTCTTGCCTTTGCCTTGTACCTGACACCAACAGTCAGCAGAACAATGTGCATTTCACTTCCCACATCAGCAAACAACAGGCACTGGAAGGTCTGGGATCCACAACTCAGCCACACTACCCATGGGTGGCTACCAAGACAAGCCAACCCCTGCTGTCAGTCTCAGCCCAGGTTTACACTGGCCTGCCCAAGATGCCTGTGCTCTGCCCACCTGTCAAGTCCCTGCATAGCAACCACCATGTTTAGCTTGTCCACCGGAAGCACCCAGACCTTAATCCTGTTCATCTCACCACCTGCATGCTCAATGAGGTTAGTAGGCACATTTAAGAAAATATTTCTGTCTGCTCATAGAGCGGTGTGGAGCCCAGTGACAATCAAGATCAATCCTTCTGAGAAGAGTGACCCCACTCCATATCCCCTCTGTTGGGCTCTACCATCTGAGGAGCCCCAGAGCCCTTGTGCAAAAGTGGCAATGCTGAGGGCCCTCAGAGAGTGTAGGGAAGGAATAGTGAGGTTGGAAGACCCTACATTCACTAAGAACTCAGGCAGACAGAGAAATAGCAAGGGAACCAGACCATCTGCACTGAAACCCCTAATAGAAAATGGAGAGCTTGCTTCTTTTGTGCCCAGGTCTAAACCCCAGAAGTCTCTACTCTAGGAGCTTAGATCACAGTTTGAATAAGAGAAACCATTCATCCTCCATGAGCTACCTGACCAGCTCGGAAAAAAACTGCCATTAGAAGTTCTTACAGTTCGCTTGGAGATTTCTCAGAGCCATGGAAGAGAAAGAATTGCAGTACATCACTGCAGCCGGTGGAGCAGCCAGCAAAGAAAGGGACAGATGGGAGCTGATCTTACTGTCTAGCTCCAGTGGTATCAGGCAAGAGTTTCTGTCAGCACCTGGCAGTTCTGGGTCACAACATTAGAAGATTCTGCTGTTCCCACCTATGCCAGGTGCTATGGCTACCTAGGAAAGAGGTGACAATTGACCACATTTCCCAGGTTGTAAGAGCTAAAAGTAAAAACTCAGAGGAAAACATAGGTGACATCTTCATGACATTGCATTTGGCAATGATTTCTTGGACATGACAACAAAAGCACAGACAACAAATAAAAAAATAGATAAATTTCACTTTGTCAAAATTAAAACTTTTGTGCATCAAAGAACACTGTTATTAACAGAATGAAAAGGCAACCCACCAAACAAGAAAATATTTGCAAATCATATATCTGATAAGTGATTAATATCTAGAATATATGAAGAATTCCTATAACTCAATGATGAAAAGACAAAAATTCAATTTTAAAATGGGCAAAAAACTTAAACAGACAGTTCTCCAAAGAAAATAAAAAGATGGCCAGCAAGCCATGAGAAGGTGCTTAACATCACTAGCCATTAGGGAAATGAAAATCAAAATCATACTGAGATACTATCTCACACCCATTAGGATGGCTATTATCAAAAACATAAAAAATAAATATCAGAAAACATGTGGAAACTTGACATAACTGTGCATTGCTGGTAGGAATGTAAAATGGAGCAGCCACTGCAGATAACAGTATAGCAGTTCCTCAAAAAGCTAAACAGAATTATCAGATGATCCAGCAATTCCACTTTTAGGTATATATCTAAGAGAATTTAAACCAGAGACTATAGCCAAAAAAGTAGAAAAAAGTCAAATGTTCATGAACAGATGAGTGAATAAGCAAAATGTGGTGGAAACAAAATAAAATATTATTGAGCCTTAAAATAGAATTAAATTCTGATGCATGCTACAATGTAGATAACATTGAGTACATTATGCTAAATAAAATAAGCCACACAAAAGTACAAATATTATATTATTCCTTTTATATGAGCTATCTAAAATAGTCATATTCATGAAGACAAAGCAGAACAGTTGTCACCAGGGGCTGGGTACTAGAGAGCTGGGAGTTTGTGTTCAATGTGTACAGAGTTTCAGTGTGGGATACTTTAAAAGTTCTGAGATGGTTAACTGTGATGGTTAAAGTATCAATGTTTATGTTATGTATAATTCTACTGCAATTTTAAAAAAAGAAAAGACAGAAAATCACTGCACATACAC